CCTTATTCTGTCGCCCAGGCTGGAGTGGCAGTGGCGTGATCTTGGCTCACTGCAACCTCCACCTCCTAGGTTCAAGCTATTCTCCTGCCTCCGCCTCCCAAGTAGCTAGGATTACAGGTGCACACCACCATGCCTGGCTAATTTTTTGTATTTTTAGTAGAGATGGGGTTTCACCACGTTAGCCAGACTGGTCTCAAACTCCTGACTTCAAGTGATCTGCTTGCCTCAGCCTCCCAAAGTGCTGGGATTACAGGTGTGAGCCACTGTGCCTGGCCTTTAAATTAATTTTTTTAGAGACAGGGTCTTGCTCTGCTGCCCAGGATGGAGTGTGGTGGCACGACTGTAGCTCACTGCAGCCTCAAACTCCTGGGTTCAAGTGATCCTACTTCAGCTTTCCAAGTAGCTGGGACTACAGGTGTGCACCACCACATCTAGCTAATTTTTAATTTTTTGCAGAGATGGGGCGCCACTATGCTGCTGGTCTTGAACTCCTGGCCTCAAGTGAATTCTCCCACCTTGGCCTCCCCATGTGCTAGGATTATTGGTGTGAGCCACCACGCCCAGCAAACCTGCAAAACTTTCAGCTGCCATCAACCTGGCCCTGGTGGCTACTGGTGCTACCTTGAGACGGAGAGCAGGGATGGAGGGAGGGTTTTGGCCAGATGAGTTTGATGGAGCTGATCTACTCAGTGTGAGTTGCCCCTGAGGCAGGGGCCTCGGTTTTCACCTGGAAATGAAGGCATGGTCACCCACTCCCAGAGGTAGTGGAGAGAGAAGCTGAGGTGACCAGGCTGGGCCAAGCTGGAGCCCTCAGAAGTGGCAGGAGGTGAGTGTGGCTAAAGGGAGACAGGGTCATTAGGAACACAGTCAGGTAAGCACAATCAGGAGAGCAGAGGGGGAGACTTCTGTCTGGAGGGGCAGACCTGCCGCCTGCCCCAGGCTTGTCCCCCAGCTAGTGCCGGCCCCGAGCCCCATCCCTGCCTTCTCCCTCATCACACTCCAACCTCGCCGCCTCCTGAGCAGGAGTCAGGCTCTCAGTTGCCATAACAACTGGATCCCGGCAGTAAAAATAGTAACTAATTTTTTATTCAACTTCTTTTGCTCTTGGAGAAAAAGAAAATCCATTTCTAGGCTTGAGTTTCACTTCGGGGGTCCCCTCTGGGGCCCTAAAGATTCCACTGCCAAGGTCTGCTTGAAGGTCAACAGCAGGCTGGGGCCAGGAAGAGGGCGGCAGGCCGTGGACGCTGGACAGGCCCAGCCCCAGCCTCCTGGGAGCTGTGGGTACCAGTGGCTGCCTGGACCTGGCTGGGGCAGAGGTGTCGCTGGTACCTGGGGACAGGTGTGTCCCGGTGCAGTGGACAGTGAGGTCTGGACCTGCGGGGTCAGAGCAAGGGCCATAGAGGTCAAGGTCAGGGCAGACGCCATGGTATGCAGGATTTGACTTTGCTTACTACTTCTGTTTGACTTCCATCTCCTGGAGGTCTGAGAAATCACCAGAGCAGGAGTTCTGTGTCGGGAAATCAGCCCAGAGCCCAGGTGGGCTCCAGGGCAGTCCTGCCCCCACAGGCCCTGTGACCTTGGGAAGGTCCCCAGACCATGAGCCTCAGTTTCCCTCATTGGCAGGAGGGGATAGGAGGCACCTGTCTGTCCTACCCCAGGTCTCACTTGTTTCGTGACTTGTGATGCACAGCATCCCAGCTGGGACACGAAAATGCAGATGCCAGACGCACAGCGGAAACAGGGCTTAAAGAATGTGACTCCTCCTCACTATGCACCAATGCCTAAAAAGTCATTTCTTCTGTTTCATTTCCCTCCTCCTCTTCTTCCTCCTCCTCTTCCTCCTCCTCCTACTCCTCCTCCTCTTCCTCCTCCTCCTCTTCCTCCTCCTCCTCCTCTTCCTCCTCCTCCTCTTCCTCCTCCTCCTCTTCCTTCTCCTCCTCCTCTTCCTTCTCCTCCTCCTCTTCCTCCTCTTCCTCTTCCTCCTCTTCCTCTTCCTCCTCTTCCTCTTCCTCCTCTTCCTCTTTCTCCTCCTCCTCTTCCTCCTCTTTTGCTTCTTCTTCTTTCTTCTTCTGTTTTTCTTTTTGAGACAGTCTTGCTGTATCACCCAGGCTAGAGGACAGTGGCACAATCACTGCAGCCTTCACCTCCCTGGTTCAAGCGATTCTTATGCCTCAGCCTCCCAAACAGTTGGGATTACAGGTGTGTACCACCACCCCCAGCTCATTTGTTTTATTTTTAATAGAGGTGGGGTTTCACCATGTTGGCCAGGCTGGTCTGAATCTCCTGACCTCAGGTGATCCACTTGCTTTGGCCTCCCAAAGTGTTGGGATTACAGGCGTGAGCCACTGCGCCTGGCCCTTGTCTTTTTTTTTTTTTTTTTTTTTCTGAGACAGAGTCTCACTCTGTCACCTAGGCTGGAATGCAGTGGTGCCATCATAGCTCATTGCAGCCTCCAACTACTGGGCTCAAGCGATCTTCCTGCTTCAGCCTCCTGAGGAGCTGGGACTATAGGCACATGTCACCATGCCTGGCCAATTTTAAAATTTTTTGTATAGATGGGGTTTCACCATGTTGCCAAGGTTGGTGTTGAATTCTTGGCCTCAAGCAATCCTTCTGCTTTGGCCTCCCAAAATGCTGAGATTACAGGCATGAGCAGTGGCTTGCCCTGACTGGCTTAAAAAAATAGATAGATAGATACATCGATAGATAGATAGATATGTGAGGCTGGGACGGAGGCTGAGATCCTGGAGGCAGAGGTTGGAAAACCTGGAGTTCTCATGTCCCAGGGTGGAAGAGTGTCTCGGCTCCAGGAGAGAAAGAGACCATTTACCACTTTCTTTCTTTCTTTTTAGATGGAGTGTCACTCTGTCACCCAGGCTAGAGTGCAGTGGTGTGATCTTGGCTCACTGCAACCTCCGCCTCCCGGGTTCAAGTGATTCACCTGCCCCAGCCTCCTGAGTAGCTGGGACTTATAGTCCCATAATGGTCTCAATCTCCTGACCTCGTGATCCGCCTGCCTCGGCCTCCCAAAGTGCTGGGATTACAGGCGTGAGCCACCACGCCTGGCTGCATCTGCCACTTCTAATCCATCATCAGGGTGGTCTGGTGGGCTTTGCCTCCTAAGCATTCCTGACCCCTCTTCTGGTCCCCAGCTCAGCCATCCCCCATCCTACCCCTAGCCCTCAGCCCTGCCGTGGCCTCTGAAGGCATCTACTTATAACCCTCTGGTCCTCCCCAGCGGGAATACCAAAATAAATTAGATGGAGTCAGCAACACCTGTAATCTCCACACTTTGGGAGGCTGAGGCTGGCGGATCACCTGAGGTCAAGGGGTTAGAGACCAGCCTGGCCAATATGGTGAAACGCCATCCCTACTAAAAAAACAAAAATTAGTTGGGCATGGTGGTGCATGCCTGTAGTCCCAGCTACTTGGGAGGCTGATGCACGAGAATCGCTTGAACCTGAGAGGCAGAGGTTGTAGTGAGCTGAGATGGCGCCACTGCACTCCAGCCTGGGTGACAGAGTAAGACCCCATCTCAAAAAAAAGAAAACAAGATGAAGTCCTTTGTCTTTTTCCCACTTCTGGTCCTAGCTCCCTGGGGGCAGGGGGATTGGGTGGGGTTATCTTCTGAATGTTCAGCAAGATCTCAAATAAAGCATTGCTATATTAATAAAAAGGAACAGGGGCTGGGGCTTGGGAAGGAGGGTGAAGTGTGCGTGCAAAGGAAGGGCCTTCAATCTGTGGACCAATCCTTGGGTTCCCCAGGTGTGGCTGGCATGTCTTTGGCATGGAAGGCTTCTTCCCTCCATCAGCCCCCAAGGGTTCCAAGCCTCCCATAGGGTGACTGGTTTTCCAAAACCTAGAACCTGGCCCAGGTCTCCTAAGGGAGAAAGTTGCAAATGACCCTGTCGGGGGGGTCACCAGGGTCCTCAGAATCATGAAGTCTTGGGGGAAGAGGGTTTTCCTGGAGCCCCTGACCCCTTCCTGGGCAGGTCCCATAGGGTCCCTCGCGCCTCGCAGGGACATGGCAATAGGGAGCGGGGTGGTGGGGGGAGCAAGCAAGCCACAGGTAGGCAGTAGGTGGGGGCCCAGCTACACTGGGGACAATGGGCGCAGTGTCCCCTGTCCCTCCAGCCCAGCCAGGGCCAGCAGCCCTTCTAGCCCTGGAGGCCTTTTACTTCTCACTGGAAAAAGTACTGGTGGAGGACAGCCGGGGGAAAAAGGGGCTGGATTGGGAAGTCCCCTATCCACTTCCCACTCCCTCCACCCCCTACTGACCCCACTTTCCAGTCCCCCTACCCTCAGGTCCCCCACTCCCCACCAACCCTCTCACTTCCCACTCCCTCCACCCCCAGGCCACCCCGCTCCACCCAACACCCCCACTTCCCACTCCCCTAACCTCCAAGTCTCCCTCTACCCACCAACCCCCGACTCCCCCCCAACCCCCCCGCTTCCCACTCCCCCACCCGCACTCCCCACCAACCCCCCTACTTCCCACTCGTCCCACATCCATTCCCACTCTCCTTACCCCCGACTTCCCACTTCCCCCAACCCCTCCAGCACCCTCAGTTCCCACTCCCGTCCCCTCCCCCCTCCCCCACTCCCTCAGCCCCCAACTTTGCATTCCACCCCCCACACCCCCTTCCCAATCCTTCCCGTTCCCCCTACTACCACTTCCGGCTCCCTACCCCACAACCCCCTCTTCCCCGCTTCCAGCAAGGGCACGGGGGAAAGGGGCCGGGGCCAGGGCCGCCCAAGGCCTGGGCGATGGGCGGCTCGCGCGCACGGCCAGGACCCCCCCCCCCCCCCCCCCTCCTTACGCCCACTTCCTCACCCCCACCTCTCCCATCCCCCATCTCCCCACGACCCTCCTCCACCCCAGCGGAGGCGGCGGGGTCGCGGGAGGGAGGGGGCCGGGCCCAGGCGATTGGCGGCGCGTGCCCCGGAGCCCCCCCCTCCGCGCCCCCGTCATCCCGCCCGCCCGCCCGCAGGCCCGCCCCGCCCCCACCACCATCTGCTCTGGCTTTGGCGTCGGCGGCTCCCGGCGCCTCCAGCTCTGGCTCGGGCTTGGGCTCCGGCTCCAGGCGCGGACCAGGTCCCCTTGGCCCCTGCCGCGCGCCCTCCAACCTGCTGCTGCGGCCGCCGCGCCCCCCAGGCTCTGCCAGCTGCCAGCTCTCTGAGCCCGAGGCCGGATTCCCATGGAAGCGCCGCGATGTTCGCCCCCAGGCTGCTGGATTTCCAGAAGACGAAGTACGCTAGGTGAGCGGCGGCTGCGGGGGTCCGCGGGGAGGTAGGGAGGGGCGCGCGGCGGCGGGGACCGCGGGAGCCACCTTGGTACTCGGGCCGCGCCGCCCGGAGCACTCGAGGGGATCAGCGGACCCCTGACCCCCGCCCGAGAAAACCAGGACCCAGGCACCCTCGTCTTGGCGCTGGGATGGAGTAACCGGGATGCCCGCGCCTCCTCGCTGGGTGCTGTTGGACAAGTCGCTTCACTTATCTGAACCTCATTTCCACGTTTGCAAAACGGGGATTATGCGAGTCCCCGTGTCCTGGGTCCCCGTGAGGATTAAGCGAGCTGGCACTTGCAAAGCACTTTGCACAGCGCCTGGAGCCCAGCCAAGTTACGCTCGGGCAGTTACGCTGGGTCTCTCTTGGGCACTCTTGTTCATGGCAAAAGGCATTGGTACCACCTCTGTCCACCCTTCCAGCAAGTCGGAGGAAAGAGTAAGTGCTCTTTTCAGATGAAGAAACTGAGGCTCAGGAGGGGAGGGGGCACCTGTACATCCAAGTCTTTTCATAGTGTGAACTCCGTGGTCCCCTCAGAACCTCGGTCTCTTCTGTAAAATGGTGATAGCAGCAACTGTGAGAGCTGAATAGAAGTTAGGCTCCTGTTGCTCGAAATTCCAGTGAAGAAGGTGGGTGTGGGGAGGGGGTTTCTCCTTATTACATATCTTTAAGATTTTTTGGGGCGGTGTGCTTGCCTGGAAGCTGGCATGAAAAACCCCTCCTAAAGTTGCTCCTCGGTCCCCAGTGGTCTTTGGGGAGCACAGACTGTTCTGGTGGGAGCAGCCCCCGGGGCCTCTTTGGAGGGGGCACCAGGCTGTCCTCCAGGTCACCTTTCCCCCTCTGCCACCGAGGGTCTCCTGCCTTCGTGAACAGAGGGGCCTGGTGTGTGCTGAGGCTCCAGTGGATGGTGAGTGGGAGATGGGTTGGCAGTATTTTTCCTACTCACATCAGTGTGGCTTATTACTTGCAACTGGTTGTTGAGAGTCCCCTGGTGCCCCTGAAGTCTCTATGAGTTCTGGTCGGATTGAGCACAGCTTAACAACAGAAGCTCAGGGCTAGAATGGTGTCCAGGGTAGGGAAGGCTAGGGGACAGGATGGAGCCCTTCCTTCCCCCTCAGTCCCACCCTCTCTTTCCCCCAGGGGACATGATGAGTCTATCTTTCCTAAACTTGGGGAATCCCACCCGGGGAGGTGATGCACTTGGGAAGGACTTGAGGATGAGTTCCTGCGGATTTGCTGTTGGCCAGATTGTGGGACTGGACTGGACTTACCTTTTTTTTTTGAGATGGAGTCTCCCTCTTGTTGCCAAGGCTGGAGTGCAATGGCATGATCTCAACCCACTGAAACCTCTGCCTCCTGGTTTCAAGCGATTCTCCTGCCTTAGCCTCCCGAGCAGCTGGGACTACAGGCACCTGCCACCATGCCTGGCTAATTGTTTGTATTTTTAGTAAAGATGGGGTTTCACGGTGTTAGCCAGGATGTTCTCAATCTCCTGACCTTGTGATCCGCCCGCCTCGGCCTCCCAAAATTCTGGGATTACAGGCGTGACCTACTGCCTCCCGCCTTTGTTTTTCTTTCTTTGAGACAGGGTCTCTCTCTCTCACCCAGACTAAGGCTGGAGTGCAGTGGCACAGTCATGGTTCACTACGGCCTCAAATTCCTGGGCTTGAGCGATCCTCCTGCCTCAGCCTCCAGAGTAGCTAGGACTCCAGGTGTGGACCACCACCATACCCAGATAATTTTTGTATATACATATTTTTTTTTGAGACGGAGTCTCACTCTGTTGCCCACTCTGGAGTGCAGTGGCATGATCTCAGCTCACTGCAACCTCCGCTTCCCAGGTTCAAGTGATTCACCTGCCTCAGTCTTCTGAGTAGCTGGGACTACAGGCGCCCGCCACCACGCCTGGCTAATTTTTGTATTTTTAGTAGAGGTGGGGTCTTGCCATGTTGCCCAAACTGGTCTTGAATTCCTAGGCTGAAGAAATCCTCTCACCTCGGCCTCCCACAGTGGGTACTTGGACTTGTAAAGGCTGACTCCAGGGAATTTTGTGAGACGTAAGTTGGTGAACTGTTCACGGGAAAGGGAGAAACCCTGGGTTGAAGGCTGCTGACATGGACACGAAGGGAAGGAACTCTGAAGTCTCAGCAACCAGCCCGGTCCTGTCCCACACCTGCTGTGTGACCTTGGTAGATGTCTCAACCTCTCTTGACCCCAGTGGGTTGATTTGTAAAGTCAGGAGAGCTGGTCTAAATGGTCTCTAGATTTGGACACTTATGCTGGCTGCTCTGGAATTAGAATAGGGATCTGGAGCTGGTCAGTCTTTCACGCTTGGGCCAATGCAGCTTCTATGGGTGATGGGACCAGGAAGAAAATGGATTGCGTGGATTAGTTCTATTTCTGTTCCCTTCCTCATTGTGCAGTCCTTACAACTGTACGGTCTGCAAATTAGGTCCGTAATAAAGGCTTATTGATTAAGTGATTTTTTTTTTTTTTTTTAAAGATAGGATCTTACTCTTTTGCCCGGGCTAGAATATAGTGGTGTGATCATAGCTCACTGCAGCCTCAAACTCCTAGGCAAACATGATTCTCCTGTCTCAGCCTCCTGAGTAACTGGGACTACGGGTGTGTACCACCATGCCTGGCTAATTAAAAAAAAAAGTGTTTGTACAGATGGGGTCTCACTATGTTACCCAGGCTGGTCTTGAACTCCTAGGCTCAAGTGATCCTCCTGCCTTAGCCTCTGGAAGTGTTGGGATTATAGGCATGAACCCCTGCACCCAGCTGATTGAATGAATTTAATGACATAATCCAGGGCTGTCCATGAGAAATATACAAGCCACAGATGTGGCTTTATTTTATTTATTTAGTTTTGAGATGGAGTCTCACTCTGTCACCCAGGCTGGAGTGCAATGGCACAATCTCAGCTCACTGCAACCTCCACCTCCCAGGTTTAAGCGATTCTCCTGCCTCAGCCTCCCAAGTAGCTGGAATTACAGGCACCCACCACCACGCCCAGCTAATTTTTGTATTTTTAGTAGAGGTAGGGTTTCACCATATTGACCAGGCTGGTCTCGAACTCCTCACCTCAAATGACCCACCCACCTCGGCCTCCCAAAGTGCTGGGATTACAGGTGTGAGCCACTATGCCTGGCCAGCTTTAAATTTTCTAGTAGACACTCAGTTTAATGTGTGCTTGATATTCTATCTTGTTATAAGAAGGTAAAAATAAACAGGTGAAATTATTATAATTTTTAGAATATATTTTAGTTTACTCTTTATATGCAAAGCATTATTATATCAATATGCAATGAATATGAACACATTATTTATGAGATATTTTACATTTTTTCACCACAAGTCTTCAGCATCTAATGTGCATTTTATACTTACAGCCAGTCTGAATTTGGACTAGTCATTTCCAAGTACTCAGTAACCACATGTGGATTGTGTCTACCATATTGGTATCTTCTGTGGTGAGAGATGAGTATTCCAAATTAAATGCTGTGTGACATTGTAAAAAATGCTCTCTTCTTGGAGTCTCTGTTTCTCAGTGGATGGTAGGGCCAGCTAACCCCTAGGTTCTAACCTAGAGTCTTTGATGTAAGTAACCACCTGGTCACCTGGAATGATTTTTGTACACCAAGAAACATTCGTATCATAAAGCTGTAAGAATTAAGACAGTATCGTGTTGGTGCATGGTTGGGCCAATTGACCAGTGGATAAGAATAAAGAGGCCTGAAATAGATTTATGCATGTACAGGCATTTTAAGCTGTATGTGGTAGCACATGCCTGTAATCCCAGCTACACCTGAGGCCAAGGCTGGAGGATCACTTGAGGCCAGGAGATTGAGAACACTCTGGGCAACATAGCAAGACCCCATCTCAACTTTTAAAAAGGTATTTTATTTTTACCAAAGATGGTGTTGCTGATAAACCTAGGCAAGGATGGTCTATTGGATAAATGGTACTGAGACGATTCACTATTCAGATGACAACAGTGGAACAGGAACCCTACCTCACACCATACAGAAAAGGCACTTTCAGAGGGATGAAAGATGTAAACATGAAATAAATAAAAAAGTTGAAAACTTTGAGAATCTGTAAAAGAATAACTTTTGAACTTTGGGGTAAGTAAAGGTTTCTGAAGGCACATAAAGTACAAATCATAAAAACAAATTGATGAACTTGGCTACATTAAAAATTAAGTTTCAGCCTGGGCAAGGTGGTTTATGCCTGTAATCCCAACATTTTGGGAGGCCGAGGTGGGAGGAGCGCTTGAGTCCAGGAGTTCAAGACCAGTTTGGGCAACATGGTGAAACCCCATCTCTACAAAAAAATACAATTAGCTGGGCATGGTGGAGTGCGCCTGTAGTCCCAGTTACTCAGGAGGCTAAGGTGGGAGGCTTGCTTGACCCTGGGGATCGAGGCTGCAAATGAGCTGAGACTGAGCCCCTACACTCCAGCCTGGGTGACAGAGGGAGACCCCGTCTCAAAAAAAGAAAAAAAAATTAAGTTTCTGTTAATCAAAAATGCCATGAAGAAAGTAGAAGACAAGCCACAGTGTGAAGGACATATTTGCAACACATTTAAACAACAAGTAATTAATATCCAAAATATAGAGAGAATAAGAAATAGCAAAAGACAACCCAATAGAAAGTGAAAAAGACATGGACAGGGATTTCTTGGAAGAGAACACAGGTGAGCATGTGAAGAACTGCTCCCTCTCAGTGGTAACCAAGACAATGTCAAATGAGATACCACTTTCATATCCAGTGCATAAGAAGCCTAACTGTCTGGGTGCAGTGACTCATGCCTGTAACCCCAGTGCTTTGGGAGGCTGAGATGGGAGGATCTCTGGAGTCCAGGAGTTTGAGACCAGCCTCGGCAACAAAGTGAGATCCCTGCCTCTACAAAAAGAAAAAAATTAGCTGGGCATGGTTGTGTGCCTGCGGTCCCAGCTACTCAGGAGG